CTTATCCCTATGCAAAACACACTACCCACCGGCCCTAACCCCACCTCTCACCCACCCAGTCGTACACCGACTTCAATTACCTCAGATTTAAGCTTATAATAGACAACAATCAACGTTATTCAGAGTGACTTACTTAAGTTGTCATTTTTTTTCTTATAAATAGACGCCATACCCTTAAAAAATGTTTAAAATCTCTGGAATATTTGCAATAGAGACATCCTTGTTTTATGTACAACAGTTGGTTTCTTTCAAAGCGAATATGCCACATATCTAGATAACTTTTGATAACGGAGTCTAATTTCATTAAGTACACGTTAGCTATAATTGAAACTGACGTGATAACAAATGTTGTCTACTGGTCACCTAAAAAAATATCATTTTAAAGCAACGTTTAAAAAAATGAAATATATATTAAAATAATATAGAAAGTTGAAAATTATGACCCACGACATGCTTCGTAAATAAAACATTGCATTAACACTTGATTTGAAGAAAGTAAAATAAGTTTATGACATAAGTGACATGCTTTAGAATAATCTTCAATGGGTTTTTTTCCTTTTTTTCTTAAATACGAAAATTAAGTTGAAATTCTTCAGTTTCATGATCCGTTTCTTATATTTTCCGATATGGTATTTTTTAAGACGAGACCTAATAAGTGATTAAGTTGATAAGAACCTCTTATTATTTAAAGTTTCAAAAATTCGAAATGTCTTATTAAATAAGTTTATCGTCGAATCGATTAATTCCAGACATCGGGAAATTTGCTTGTCATTGTCAAAGGTTTTTAACAATGTATCCATGTTTTGGTTTATTAACTCATATATGGAAAAAATCGTAATAATATTTGTAAAATATCTTGCGTATCTCGTTTTTTCAAAAGTGTAGTTAGAAGTATTGGCCGGGGACAATCATTTTCCATATTAAAACATTATCATATCTGCAGAAACTTAAAACGCTACACCAGATTGTCAGGGTCAGAAATAGTCGAGCTTCGGACACTGCAAGAGGGTCATTCCAATGGAACATGAAGCTGACCCTTCCTTCAAAACCATATGGACCCCAACACATTTGAGGTCCGATTTTTTTATGACGTGTTGACACTGAAGTGCTATTGTTTTCCTTTTTGAATTTGCACACGTACTGAGTTAACTTCTTCACACCTAACATTCACATTGAATTATTCGAACCATTGAATTGGAAGAGTTCAAATGTGTCTCAAGGGGAAAATTTGTTAAGACAATGAGAGCAACCATGAGTAAGTTTGTAGTGCTCAGTTAAAAAAAACATCGCTGATATTTACTGTATTGATATTTCATCGATAACACTTGCATTATGCTTCAAATTTATGCATTATTTAATTTATGCACCAAAGTATATAAAAAAAAGTGTTTTTAAGAAAATAGTTTACCTACAAAAGAGAAATTTGACAAGAAGGTCCAGTTTCAGACACATTGTACGGTTTTCTAACTACATCATACTTGATTATAAGGTGCATATGTGTAGTATATCTTCAACGTTTTAAAGCCAATCCAAGAGAACTTTCCAGACATTTTTTTCGATGGCCTCAGATTCCGCAGCCGAGCGATTATTTCCATAAATCTTTATTTTGATGGCCTCTCATGTAATCTGAAGTTTTCGTAAAGCTCTGGTAGTTTATTACCATCCCTTTGTCCGTAGGACCAGATAAGATGAGACTTTTTCTGACCACCTACTCTCAACATAGGTATGTCTGGAGAACGTCAACAGTAGCACCAGTCTGATACCGAATTATTAACACAGCAACCCCGAGGAAATTCTTAGCGGTAACCCTGGTCATACCAGCTACCATGGCAACGACCCTGATGATAATCCTGACAATACGAGCACCCATGGTTACAACCGTAACAATAACCGGGATAAATCGGGTAACAATGGTAACAACCCTAGCGATAACCCTGACAAAACAAGTAACGATCGCAACAACCCTGGCAATAACCCTGATATTACACCAGGAAACCTGGCAACAACCCTATCAATTATTTGACAATACCAGTAACCATGGCAACAGCAATAACGATTATCCTGACAATACAATTTACCATGGCAATTACCCTAGCAATAACGTTTCCAATATCAGTAACCATGGCAACATATCTGCCTATTACAATAATCCAAGCAATAATGCTACCAATTTATAGTTTAACATATGAATGAAACACGTTATCTTTGTATAGAGAAATATGTCTAGTTATTGAAATCGTGAAACAATAACAAGGTTATTTGGAAAGCTGTTTACAACAGACAGATATACCTCGATCCAAAGTACAAACCGGAATATTTAAGCACGTTGTGATTTCAGTTCTGTTTATTTTTATTTTCGTTTTTCTGAATCTACAGTAGGAGTGACACTGACACGCCACGTGCGGGTGACACTTCGATGTGTCTACTGCATTGATGTGGGATGTTGACATGTTGCAAAGTGCATACTAGTATATGGGCCGAAAACAAACAGGGGGCACTTCCGTAATTCTCTCTCTCTCTCTCCAGTTTTCTCAAATTTCAGGTTCAGGTTCCCTCTGTACTCTAAATTATATATAGAACTGACTTTATACTGTTCTCGACCAAATGTACGTACATGTATTTCCAAATCTCACATTCTCGTACATTATTTTATGTACTAGTAAACGTAAACTATATACTCAAAGGTACACAAAGTCTTCCTTGTTAGTAGATAGCTCGCAAAACCGCTTTACAAAGCCGAAAATGTTGCTGAGCAAACAACGGCGGTTACATAACACGTGTCACAGTTTATGGTGACGTTAGTCCGGATATATTTAACGCATGTGTGGTTCCGGGTATTAGTTTCAACCCGGTATCCAAAACGATTCATTCCATCAACCTGTTTTACTTATTATGTTTTCATTGATTAATTTATAAAATTTAGGAATGGGTGATAAGTTTTATTTTTTCACGACTTTAATTAAATTTTGAATTATTTTATAAATTCGTTATTGATTACTAGTTGTTTCCTATTTCATAACATCCAGATTGTATAATGATAGAATTATGATTCCAAAAGAATTGTTCACCGAGACAATTCTTTTGCAAACAAGATAAGCTTGACGTCATCATGATGTCCACATCCGTACCTGGCGTCATCATGATGTCCACATCCGTACCTGGCGTCATCCAAACCGCGCCCTTATCCATTTCCGTCTGCATCTTGGACGAAGCGCCATAGCTTCTGTTCACTAAGAGGTTCGCTGTGTGTTTGACCTCGAAGAGTTTGTTGGGAAGTCGGGTCGCTCTCGACATCAAGTCCAACGTTTGTTGACATATAAATATCGCAGCCTCTGAGTGTTTTAAGATCCTTTTATAGTGGAGAAAATGAGTTGTTATAACACTAGGATACCACTCAGGCGCATTCGAGTAGGCTTACTCTCGGAGATATCGACGAGACGAACGGAAGCCTAACACAAGTGGCTCCATTGATGATCAATTAAACTTATCTGTTAAGGCAAGTACTTCGTCAATTTTAAATGGTAATCAATTATTGGGATTGTCATTCACAAAAAGTGGAGTGCTCTTGAGCCTCGCAAGGCACCCCAAGACAAACATTGTGTGTACCAGGATGACTGGAGCTGCGTAAGGTTCCGTCGAGTAGACTTGTACAAGTCACTTAATAGGTTTTATCTGCTTTATCGTTCTAATACATATATTGACAGTTTCATAAAGTTTGTGCACAATTTTAAGCACTTCATTGGTTATTATAAGTAATGTAATTAATTATCTATATTTTTTCGGTGAGCTTCAAGCTTCCTTCAAACAGCATCAACTTGAAGGAATTGAGTTTTTCTGTTATTGGTACATTAAGAGGGTAAAAGGATGACGTCATGACACCTTGGTTCGGTTCGTTGAGGTGCTTTTGTTTTCCAGGTACAGTTTACAGTCGTTTGGGGTCATCAAGTACTTACCAGTCACGTTCTATGAGATGTGTACAGTACAGAATTCATCTAATGTATGAGTATACACGTCTAGTGTTTGTGTGTATCCTCTGCTGTTCGTGTAAAAATGACGTCATCTTAGTTTCCCATTCATTGTATGAAAGTCTTTTTATGACATAGTCGATTATCAATTGGTATTTTTTTTCAGATCAACCAATCGCCTACCCACCATCACCGGAAGAGAGTAAACAGTGTCTCCCAGAAGCCATGGCGACTATTCCACATCCGGTTTATTCTTCAAGCCCGATTTCTGCGCTTACAAATTGGAGCGAAATGTACCCACTTGGTCAAACAAGGCCTTACCCGATTGGTTCGATTGGATTACCTCTCCACACATGTCTTACCTTGAATGCGTACACTTTCAACCAATGGGGATCGGCAATGTACCCTACATTTGTGCCAAGGGGAGGGAACTCTGATTCATATGAAAAGCGAAACCGGAAGGAGGAGAACATTAATCGAGGTAAAGCTTATATTTGGTTCGACATTACCGATTTTAACAAAACTGACCATCAAATTATATAAGAAAATTCTACACTGTCAAAGTAAATTCCTATGATAATATTTAGAATGAATAAAACGTTGTAATGCATGTATAAACTAGGGGAGATAACTCATGTACAAATATCAAGGCTAAACAAAACAATGTTCGTTTCATGTGTTTGTCGTGTGTTGATTTGAAAAATACAGTTAAACTATTTATCGATGACCTAAATACGTCGTCTTAATGCATTTCATCAAGTAAGAATAACTCTTCTCGTCTTTATGGTAATATTTCATGTCCACAGAATTTTTACCGGTTCGAAAGCCTCGATTTGACTTCGCCAATCTCGCAAAAGCAGCGACAGAGGGCTCCACCGATAGAAGGAATGGAACCGACATCGAGGCTCAGATCATTAGTCATGTGATGATGAATATCGGCTCGTTAAGGTAGATATTATAATTAGTTTAGAAATGTTTACCAAAATACTGCTTGTCATTTCATCAACAAAGCAAATGTTATATAAACATGTTGTGCCGCCGGGTGTAACTTCAGACCGGATGTTTGTTGGCCTTTATGAAGTCTAAACAAAAGCAAGTCCCTGATAAATGAGACTGGCATTCCTAACTACGATATTTTGCTGATAATCTGGTTTTGCCTCGTTGCAGGGTTTTCATTTTCAAGGTCGTTTAGTTTTGACGTCACCTCAAGTCCGTTCATTGTCTCTTTGTATCAACTTTGAGCGAATTTGTTTTATTTACCTGCAGTATTCAATTATTTAATAAGTAAACTGCAAGTGAATGAAAAAAGTTATTGACAGAAACTTGGGCACCATGCCAACAGTAACGTACATCTATGATGATTTCTATTCTATTTCAGGTACAATCCGATGACGAGTAGTTTCAGTCCGGTGACGTCATCACCACGCGCTACCCCCGTGGCCCCAAACAAACGACCTCGTGGGAGAGGACCAGCAAGGTAAACAACAACAATATTGTATATTCGTCGTCATTTTTTTCCAATCTACCTCTTCATTTACTTCTTAACCCTCTCGTCTTTCTTTCTTCTTTCTCCGTTTCTTGGCGGTGGTCGTCGTCATCGTTCTTCTCTCTCTCTATCTCTATCTTCTTTCTCCTCTCCTAGTGACCCCTTCTCCCCTCAACCCAGTTGCATGCACAGGGTGAATTTCCTGGTCATTCTGATTGATTACACAATGTCAAGGTCGTGTATTATATAAAGGTCATGCAAAGAAATAAGATAGGGAATTCCCATCCTAATATATGCGGTGCAGTTTTTATTTGATTTTTTTTCGGCATTAACTCTTGATATCGTTTGTTTTCCAGAACCAAGAAAGAGTTTATCTGTAAATACTGCGGTAGGAACTTCACCAAGTCTTATAACCTATTGATACATGAACGGACCCACACAGACGAACGGCCATATTCCTGTGAGATCTGCGGCAAGGCTTTCCGACGTCAGGATCACCTCCGCGACCACAGGTAAGGCACATATAATTACATAGTTCTTCATTTTCAAGTTACGTACATTGTTTTGCTAAAAATGATAGCAAAAATTAAATACATTAAGTTTTAAGTCTAGTATCACAGTATCGGGGTGACTTTTTTGACCGCCCTTCCATCATTAGGTTTGCCTCCGTAGGTCAAGTACAATAATACTGGGCCCACATGTATAAAACATTTCAACTCTTGAGATTTCCTCAAGTCTAAGATTTCCGATAGACAATACATTGCTTGAGATTTTCCTTAACTTTGAGATGCTTTATACAAGTGGGCCCTGTTTCTCAAACTTTACAATCCTATTACATATATTTCAAACTTTTGAAACCGTTATTATATACATTGTATAACAAAAGTTGTTCAAAATATTTCATTTAATTTTTTTTCGAAACCGATATTAAAATGCAATTGAACATACATTGTATTTTAATTCGTTCAATCCTGAAAACACATTTGAACTATTCCAATTCAGATGTTGGACTTGTTCATTATAGATTTTCATGAGTGAATTAGTTAACACAGTATGTTATAAAGTAGATTAAATATATTCCATTCCTCAATAAGAATATGAGTACAATACAGTGTTTCTCAGTAGCACTACGTTTCAAACTTACATTTTACAGTATTTGTACTTATATAATTTTATCTTTTATTTTGTCCTTGAGATATTTTCATCTATTTATGTGACAATCAAGAAACGTTGAACCTAATTAACTGTAATATGATTACCACCAATGAGCTACTGAGGAAAATTACAATTTATATGTTATGTACTCGTTCGGACATCCTCGGTATCACTGCTTTTGTACTCGTTCGGAGTTCCTCGGTATGGTAGGTTTTTTGTTTGCTAAAATTCATATCCTATTCCGGATGATATACGTAGCTTGTTCCTTTTCCAGGTATATCCATTCTAAGGAAAAACCGTTTAAGTGTACGGAGTGTGGAAAGGGGTTCTGTCAGTCCCGGACATTAGCCGTTCACAAAACTCTTCACATGCAGGTAAGTTTCTCTGTAAAATGTATACTTTAAATAGCGTTAGTGCAGACACTTTTGTTATTGAAAAAAATGAAACAGGACTCAGAAATTTAGTTGCAGAACGAAGTTTTTTTATTTTATTTTATTCAATCACGATCGGGAAACGTCGGCAATTTCCGTAAACGAGTATTTTCCCGTTTACGGAAAGTGCCGTTGATTCCCGATTGGTTATTGATTAAAATATCTCCTGTTAATATGACAAGATGAACAAATATCTTATACGATGTTTATTCTTTTCCAGCAACAGAATGGCCAAACACCCACGAAACCCCTTAAACTGTGCAAGACTACATGATTAAAGCGGACAACACTGTGAACTTATGAATATTCATGTTTTATTATGACGTCCGTGCACCAACAGTTACCAGAAATGGCAGACATTAGGATAATAATTCTCAGCCAAATCTCACGAGTGCCTTATCACGTGTACCATTAGACTCGTGACTGGAAAATCGCTTTCTCATTGGACAACTGTGGAATCGAACTCATTACGTGACATTACTGACAAAGCGTACTCCCGTGAGAATGATTCAAAATGGCGGTCATTGTATATTTATCGTACCTCGGATATTTTGGATATTTTTTATATTTGATATTCGCCCTCATCATCAAGGTTGTGACTGATATAACTAATAATGTATTTATTTTACATGAACTTATGTTAATGCATGAATGTGATGTTAAAATGCTTAGGCCAAATGCAAACAAATATACGTTTTAGGTCCCCCTGTCTTCCCTATTTTATTCTTGCCCTTCACCAATCTTCCCTTTATGATACAGTTTAACTCATTCACTCCTGAAGACACATTTGAACCCTTCCAATTCGAAGGTTGGAATAGTTCATTATGAAATTCCAGGGGGGAATGAGTTCATACTGCTGTCGAACACATATTCTACTAAACAGGAAAACTTCGATATAACGACTTAGTAATATTTGAAGAAAAAAAATCTCAACATATTCAAAGGTCCCTTTTCCTTATACCTAATCATTTCCTAAAACTTGTCCCTCGCTATATGGTCAACCCCTTTTCTGAGGTCAACATTTCACTCAAAACATGCTGGAATTAAAACGAGGTTTTATTTTCGACAATTCGTTTTTACCTACGTAATCTGAAACATGTACTGGTTGTGTTTAGCCTTGTGAATGTTTGTTGTGAGTGCGCGTGCCTGTGTGACGTCTACCTTAACCCTTTCACCCATAAGTAACTTTAGTAGACTCACCATGCATTGATCTGGATGAGTCCATTATGGTCTACAGTGGTGAAAGGGTTAAGCAGTGAGTGAGTTTATGATGTCAAATGCTGTGTATGTATATTAATGAACATTGTGTAGAAAGTCTAGTCATATTGAAGTTACTTATGTCATTATATTACATTTTTTTCATATTTCCGGACTCAAATAATCCGGACATAGCGCCTACGGAACTTGCTATGAATAGTGTAACCTGTCTAAACATATAGGGCTTAGAAATCTGTCTAAACCGGATTTAAGCAAGTCCAGCAATATACATAAACCATGTGTGCATTTGACAACAAAACCTGTCCATAGTGAAAACTCATACTGACCCCGACAGAGTTCACTTCGAAGTATTTGGTTCACAATATTACGTGCTTATTTTTATTTATTCATGATATTGCTAAATATTTACTTGTGCTGTTTCATTGTGCTTATTATTGTATATACAAGCAAAAGGTGCTCGCTAGCACGTGAACATGTACGATTACACGTGCGTGTAAGTGTTTGTTGTTTCATATGTTACAATGTCTTTGTGTGCCTGCGCATGCGCGATAGTTTGTTTATGTTCGTGTGTTATAGTGTGATTGCGCGTGCTTGTAAGCCAGTTTGTTTGATCCTTTCGTAAGTAACATGTATAATGTCTCATCGTGAGAGTGCCTGTATGTATGTTGTTTGTTCGACAGTGCAATAAGATATACTTAATATGATAGTAAAATTTTGTCTCTTTGCACATTTTTTCAGAGAAAGATTCGGATAAACGACTTTTCGGATTGTATGATTATTAAAATCCTTTGGATACTAGCTTTCTAGAAACTGGGAAAAGCCTTTCCAGACGACAATACTCTCATAACTTCTAGAAACATAATGTACTGAAGTATTTATGTCGGGATTTTAGGGGTCTAATATGTGTTGATTGACAAGGCTTTGGTGTTGCATAAAATATTCAATATTAGTGCCGTCCGGAATGTGAAATTTCCGGTTTGTACACTTCCGGATTAATCAGTTTTCACTGTATCTATATGGCGTATGGCTTTCCTCGAAACCGAGGTTAATTGTGACCTATTGTTATTTTACTAGAATAAAATATTTCGAATGCATATATTAATGTGTTGTGAATGTATTTTGCTCAAAGAATACCACCAATCGCATTCAGTTATGTCTGGAAAAAATCAGTATTTGTCTACTGTTTGTGTCCACCACGAAAAAATACCATGCAGAAAAGATACGTGCGACTTAATATAACGAAAAGCATGACTGTGAAAAAAAATATGCTTCTAAAATTCTACATCAGTTTTTAAACAGATTAATTTATATCCGATTTGATACTTGTAAAAGGACTCGAAGGTGAATTTTAGAGGAAACAGCTGTATAAATATTCTAGAATAATATCTTATTATACATCTGGGTAACTATAAATCAAGAAACGAAACGGAACATAAAAAAATAAAACGGAACGAAACTTATACGATACGAAACGAAATAATACATAGTTCCATTTAGATTCTGTTTCATTTCTTGTTTTATACTTCATGCCTTTGCCTAAAGGACACTTATCTGCTTAGTACGGCGTGTTTTTATCACGTGACACTGAAGTGAGTTTACATGTATGAATTTGCTATGGCGTATCGTCCATCGTCAGTCGTCAACCTGTAATATAGCATACATCCTTAATTCTCATCGTCCGGTACGTATTCTACATTACAGAAAAGTCTCTTTGTCCATTCCATATTCCATATTACGAAAAAAACGTAAGCAATGTGATAGCATGTACCCTTAATTCATATTCTACATTTTTAAAAGAATCACACGATGAGATATCATCTCTTTATCCGGAACATATTCCACATTACAGGTAACTCTCAAACAATGAAATAGCACTCTTAGTTTTCTTTGTCCGTTAAGTATTTCGTATTACATACACATTCCAAACAATGAGATAGGATACACCCTTAAGTCTAGCTGTCCAGTTCTTATCTAACATTACAGAAAACTCGCAAACGTTGATATACCATACACCATTAATTTTCTTTGTCCGATACGTATTTCATTTTACAAAGAAACCTAAAACGATGAGATAGCATGTTCCCTTAAGTCTCTTTGTATGGTACGTATTTCATCTAATACAAAAACTCAAACGATGAGATACATAAATGTAGCATACATCCTTAAGGCAATTTGTCATAACGTATATAATATCAAAAACAAACTCGTAAACAGTGAGATAGCAAGTACCCTTAAGTCTCTCTTTTCAGTATGTGTTCTACACTATAAAAAAAACCTCTCTCAAACGATGATATAGCAAACCCCCTTAAGTCTCTTTCTCCTGTACGTATTCTGTGTTACAGAAAACTCGCAAACTATTATATAGCATACACCCTTAAGTCCCTTTCTCCTGTACGTATTCTTTGTAACAGAAAACTCTCAAACTATTATATAGCATACACCCCTAAGTCTCTTTCTCCTGTACATATTCTGTGTAACAGAAAACTCTCAAACTATTATATAGCATCCACCCTTAAGTCTCTTTCTCCTGTACGCATTCTGTGTTACAGAAAACTCTCAAACTATTATATAGCATCCACCCTTAAGTCTCTTTCTCCTGTACGTATTCTTTGTAACAGAAAACTCTCAAACTATTATATAGCATACACCCTTAAGTCTCTTTCTCTTGTACGTATTCTGGGTAACAGAAAAATCTCAAACTATTATATAGCATACACCCTTAAGTCTCTTTCTCCTGTACGTATACTGTGGAACAGAAAACTCTCAAACTATTATATAGCATACACCCTTAAGTCTCTGTTGCCGGTTGCATTTTACAGCAAGAAAACTTTCATACTTATAGATAGCTCTCTGTCCAGTACGTATTCTAAATCAAATAAAAAGTCACATTGTGCCCTATATCAAGAATGTCACAGTAGTATTAAATCTACATAAACATGACGATAAATATCGGTGACGGTGTTTGTCGATCTGGGATATGGGGGATACGTGGTATTTAAACATCAATTAATTCTTTATTGGTGAAGAAATCCTGCATTAATGATTACATCCATACTAATTTTTTTATTACTTGTTAAGACCGAACTGGGAGTAAAACTTTAGGCTATTTGCCTCAAAAGTTTTAACAAATTTCTATGCTTTTATACAAAATTAGCTGCACCCAATGCATCAAAGGAACTTTTCCCAATATTTTTTCCACGCAAATGATTCCTTTAAACTATGGAAAATATTTTTAATTACGTAATTAATAACAGGAATGTCGTCGCTAAGGAAGCGTAAGCACTCAAATATAACACATTTTAGTGATTGTGTAATTCATCTTGATATATTTTATGACACTCTATATTAAAAATCACGATACATTGAATAAAAATGAGTTTCTGGCTAAATATTCGTATTTTTAATTAATTAATTTAACGTTAAGTTTGAGTAAGGTTTTCAATTGCAAGAATAAAGACAAAATCATAAAATATTATCATATATTTGCTCATGAATATAATATCGAAAGTATCATATACAATTCATTAGCTTAACGAACAAATCAGATATTTATCTACATATTCAAAATGCCAAAAAAGTACAAGAGCTTCGCTTGTATATTATACAACAATAATATATTATTTCCAAAATCAAAATTTAATCAAATATGTTCATGGGTTTAAAGCGACCACCGAGTGATATATAGCTAATTAAGTATAAGGGTTTGCACAGGCAGCGCCTCCTGGTGTACGTATTATTCAAAGGGGTATAGCTATATAGGGGGTTTTACAGGCAGCGCTCCTAGTGTACGTATTGTTGAGAGGGGTATAGCTATATATACGGTTGTGTACATTAAGCTCCTCCTAGTGTACGTATAACTCAGAGGAGTTAGCTATATAAGGGATTGTACAGGCAACGCCTCTTAGTGTACTTATTACTCAGAGGGGTATAGCTATATAAGGGATTGTACAGGCAGCGCCTCCTAGTGTACGTATAACTAAGAGGAGTTAACTATATCAGGGATTGTACAGGCAACGCCTCCTAGTGTACTTATTACTCAGAGGGTATAGCTATATAAGGGTGTGTACAGGCAACGCCTCTTAGTGTACTTATTACTCAGAGGGTATAGCTATATAAGGGTGTGTACAGGCAGTGCCTCCTGGTGTACGTATAACTCAGAGGAGTTAGCTATATAAGGGATTGTACAGGCAACGCCTCTTAGTGTACTTATTACTCAGAGGGGTATAGCTATATAAAGGTGTGTACAGGCAGCGCCTCCTAGTGTACGTATAACTCAGATGAGTTAACTATATCAGGGATTGTACAGGCAACGCCTCCTAGTGTACTTATTACTCAGAGGGTATATTATACAGGCAGTGCCTCCTGGTGTACGTATTATTTAGAGGGGTATAGCTATATACGGTTGTGTACAGGCAGCGCCTCCTAGTGTACGCATTACTCAGAGGGAAATAGCTATATAAGGGATTGTACTGGCAGCGCCTCCTAGTGTACGTATACGTATAACTCAGAGGAGTTAGCTATATAAGGGTGTGTATAGGCAGCGCTTCCTGGTGAACGTTCGTATTAACGGGTATTTCATATGCCTGTGACCGTCACGCGGAAAACCAAAGTACGTCAAGAGCGGAGGGGTTGGTCTAAAATTTACGATCGAAATTTAAATTTTGTGTAAATCTTTGATCGGTAAGCAAAACGGGAGCTCGCCACCTGAACGGAAATAAAAGGAACTAGAGACTGCCGTAAACGAGTCTATTGCCACAAGTTGGTCGTTAATGTCGTATAAATTTAACTGTAGTGTAATTGATGTGAACGAATATCTCGACATAAACAGCCCAGGATATGTTCAAAGGACATTTTTGTTTTGGGTTGGAGATTAACATATGTTTGAGGAACTTCTAGCGCAAATTTAACAAAGACATGTTACAGTTGTAAACAGGCTAAACACGTTTTGATCTCAGCTTGCCAATAAACAAGATGAAATTCTTAGGTAAATAATACTACCTCCTCGATTTAAAGAGTTCGCTTTGATGGTTTTAATGATATGCAAATTAATGGGTGAGCCTTTGTCAAAGTTTCGTTTCTAACAGATTTATACAACGCAATAAGTTGTTTTTTCTTTCAGTTCTCTCTTTAAACGAAACATAAATTTTGTACTAGCCTTTTACCTGGTCGGAAGTGAAAGAAAATGTTAATTACCGGCGATCACTGATGTGATCACGTGACTGCGACTCGGGCGATGTTTCATACTGTACTAATAGCGTGTAATTACGGTTGATTAATTAATTTTCCTTGTGAACACCTGTTGTGATCATTGCAATTTAACTAAAGTTTTAACCATTTCATTAAAAAAAAAAATTAATTTAACCAACAATTTTCAATTTAAGATATCAATAACAGGTATCCATACCTCTGTATCAAATTCTCGTAGGCTTCCTGAATTTGTGAATTTTATTTTATGTAATCATTTATAATAACCTTTTTTTAGGTTCAAATTGGATTTTATTCCGCAAGCATCTTTTTGGAGGGATGCCAGTGTAGGGCTGCCCCGGTCTCATCCCTCTTACTTAATGTAACCTCACGCAGGAGACCTCTTGCTATTCATTATTTCTTCTTTTTCATTTCTTCTATCAAACTCGAAATCATTAATTCTTTCATTCTCATTCATTACAATAATATTTAAATTTAATAACTTGATAGTTTTGTATCTATCATACATTAACATTGCACAGCAATATATACTGTATACAATATATACTGTATACAATATATACTATATACAATATATATTGGTCGCAGGTCGGCTATTTTTCATCATGTGCTCCAGGTTTCCTCCAACAACAACACCTGGCTTGTCCTTAATTGACTGTAGCTGTTAAAAGGACGTTAAGCACAACCAAACAACCCCAACTACGTATATAACACCACGTAAAACAGACAATACTAGTTACAGGTCCATCCTCTTCAGTTAAATCACTTTTGAATTAATAGACCTGTGCTCAGTTGTTCAAAAGGAGGTTAGCTTATTCACTGTTTAACGACATTTTTCAACCTTTGATAATTTCGTCAATATTCAAGGTAAAATCTCACAATTT